GGGGTGGAAGTACCACTACCACGCCCCGCGGGGGGAGGACAGTGCCGCCAAAGCTTCCGCCTTAATTGTCTTTGATCTCCTGCTCCTGCGCACCACACGCTAGCCGCGAGTGCACTATACTATACTTACCACCTCCAATGAGTTCAATACCATTGCGAGCAGCACTTATTGCAAGTGTTTTCGCAACGTTTGCAAGGGTTGGTCCACGTGACCCTGGGCAAAAAAAAAAAAAAAAAACAGTTCGTAGTAGTGGTGTACTGCACCGCATGCAGCCGTGCGGGCGGGCTTGCCTACAGTCTCGGCGCCGCCCCATCCATGGCCCCTTGCTGGTAGGCAACGCGTCCACACACACACACACCCACCTGGTAGCTAAATTGTGCTCTGGGAGACGCTCACGAACAAATAAAATGTTATAAAAGTGCGTGCCAGTGATGTCACACACATAAAAGAGTGTGTGACAAGCATGTCACACACTCTATATGGTGTCGGGCAAGTTTAAAGTATACCGGGTGTGACTGTGAATACGCAGCAGTGTTGCGGGTTAGCATACTCTTTATGTCCGTAAGGGGCCATGGCCCCTGCGGCCATATTGAGTATGCAATCCCGCAACACTGCTGCGTATTCACAGTCACACCCACCCGGTACACTTTGAGTCCAACGCTTTCCTGTGGATGCCACGATTGTCACACACTTTTTTTCGTGCTTGGCATTTTTGCACGCACTTTTAAGTGTTCGAACATGTCACTTACTTCTATTTGTAGAGTAACACAATTTCTCTCAGTGGCGGGGGGGGGGGACTTCTTCTTGAGCGTGAGGGGTGTGTGCACGCAGTGCATGCAGAGACCGCGCTACTGTTTAGCAGTAAGCCGTACAATGTCGCGCATACAATTTACCTTTGCAGAGTATGACGCGGCCCGCAGAAACGCGCGCCCACGCTTCCTCCGGTCACGTTACATTCATTTCGCGATGTCTGGTAAAGGTTTGTCTCTGCCACGCGTAACGGGGATATAATTGTGTCCCTTCTTTTCATTTCGCCCGACCAAGATGGAGCGTGGAGTGTGGGAGCTGCGCGGGTACGCGACATCTCGTTAAGGGTCACCTGCAGCAGCGAGCGGGGAGATCAAAGCCAGTGAGTGCGTGTGAGTAAGAGAGAGAGAAAGAGGGAGAGGGAGAGAGAGAGAGAGAGAGGCGGGGGGGGGGGGCATTACTTACAGAACATGTGCATTCTGTTAATTTTACAGGTCGTAAGTTACTTGTTTAGCCCATATTTTTAATTTTTTTTTTCCCCCCCCCCCCTCCCCTAGGGTTGGAAATTTCCCAAATTTTCCGGAAAACTTCCGCGAAATTCCCGAAAGTTTCCGGAAAATAACGAAAAACTTCAAAGTCTGGGAAATTTTCAATTTTTTTCCCGGAAATTTTCCGGAAACCTTCCAGGGCTTCTAACCCTACCCCCCCTCCCCTCTTCAGCTCTAGGGTACAGATTTTGGGCTGCGGTAGAAATTTTGGCCCTGGCCGAGGCCAAAATGTGGGTTTTTCTTTTCAGGTGCATGTGTGGGTGTCTATCGCCACGGCGTTGGTCAGTATTTCGGTGTACTATAGCGGGCAGCAGAGGGCCACCCACCCAGGCCTACCGCTATCCAAGTGAGTATTTGGGCAAGCCGCCGTGGGTATCACTCGAGCACCCGGCGGGCGCGCGCGTATGTGTGTGTCTCCCCGAGAGTCTTTTTGAGGAATGGTCTTATTGAGGCACTCATAGCCATTACACAGACAAGCGGAGAGGTCCCCCAGCCATGTAACGACGCCGTTCAATCAAACTGTGTGTGTGTGTGTGTGCGCGCGAGTGTGTGTGGTGTGCTGGTGGGGGGTTTGCTTTTTGTCCCCCGGGGTGGACTAGACTGTAGGGCCATTCGGGGGGGGGGGTCAACTACAAGCGTCGGCGTATAACTATGAAGAGTTGGAGGTTGATGATCGCTTATTGGCCAACAAGTACCGGATCAGCGCGGGCACTACAGTCTTGCGGGTTTGCCTACTCCCTCCTGGGTCGTATTAAGTAGGGAGGGGGGGGGGATTGAAAGTTCCTACATACAGCGGTTTTGTAGGTCAAATTGCCAATCTTTAGGCGGCTATCTAGCGGACCACAGGTTGGGGGGGGGGGGAAGCGGTCGTCCCCTCCGTTGCCTCCCACTCAGTACGCGCCTCACTCACTTAGCCACCTTAGCCTGCTGCAAGGCGCCATGGCCAGGGTTGACAAATTTCCAAAATTTTCCGGAAAATTTCCGGAAAATTCCCGAAATTTTCCGGAAAGTAACGAAAACCATTAAATGTGTAGGAAATTTTCGATTTTTTTCCCGGAAATTTCCCGTCTCTTCCTGAAATTTTCCGGGAACTTTCCAGGGCTTCCAACCCCAGCCGCCATGGCCCCTAGCGGCTGTGGTGGAGCAGCACGGCACAGGGACCGTGGTGCGTGGTGCGCGGGGGCGTCGTTTGAGAGCCAGCCACGCATCTCTGTACCCCTCACACCCGTACAGCAACAGGGCCAGCAACAGCCCGGGCCGGCCGCGCGACACGCAGTAGCAGCCCTAGGCCCGCCCCGCGGGCCGAGCCGGGCCGGGCGGCCGGGCCGCAGCTGCCGTGCCCGCACTACACACGCGCCTCGGACAGATGGCCCCATCACCTCGAGGAAATTGGAAATCCGTCGCGCCGTTTGCAAAAGGACGCGCGCTAGAGAGATAGAAATGTATATTCAGAGAGCCCTTTCTCTCGATGAGGGCCTCTCTCCACGTCCGGCGGCCGGACACGACGGGCGCCGGACGGGGTGCAGATGCAGCCGCGCCCACCCGTGGAATGTAAGAGAGGAAATTGCGGGCCCTGTCCGCGCGAATATTCCGTGTCGCCGCCCTCTATTGGCGGAACGAGGGGATTCGCAATTTCCGCGGAGTGAGAGGTTTTCTCGCGTCCTTCGCGCCGAGTGCGCTTTTTACAGAAACGCACTTGTTTGAAGTCGCTCATCCTGCGCGCGAGTGAATATCGAGTTTCAAAACTATGTTTTGATTGCAGCCTCAACTTCACAATCAATGCGGAAGTGGAAGGAACAAAACAAATGTTTTAGGCAAAACGCAAAAACAGACCCCCCAGACAACACAGTTTCGTCAAAATTGAATCAAGGTCATATTTTGGTGGCCAAACATTTTCACACTGACTAACATTACTTTTGATGTCATTTTGACAAAACTGCCCTTTTTGGGATAAGAACATACGCTCTCGGGCCCAGCTGGCCCAGCTCACCAGACACTCGGCGGCCGCCGGGCCGGGGCTTCCCTCCTTGGAGCACTCCTCGGTGCTTCACTCCCCCCGGTGGAGCCGCCTACGCTCCGCGCGGCCCCAGCCTCCAAGCCCGTGCTGCAGCACGTGTATAATCACTTTCCATCCCTTCAGTGCCAGTTGCCATGCTCTTTTGCAGGACGTCATAAATTTACACAACATTTCGTTCTAACGACGTTCGTTCTCACATGACGCGCGAAACCCCCGAGACGCGGCAGAGAGATTTGTCGCGATATGGAACGCGAGGTACTTTTAGAGTGACGTTGTTGCTTCTTGATTTCACTCTACGCCCCCGCTGACTCACCTCTAGTGGCGCTGGCCCAGGTCCGTGACGACTCCCTCCCGCAGGCCGCCGAGCGCGGGTCCCCGGCGCTGCTGCTGGTGCTGCTGCTGCACTGGGAGCACGTCCATGTCGGGGCCACGGCGCCGTGCGTGTGTGCCCAGTGCTCGGCCCGGGCCCTGGGCACAGCGCAGGCCTGCTCCGGGGGGCACAGCGTCCCGCCCCTCGCCCGCCGCCCCGCGCCGCGCCCCCCGCGCCGCTGCTGTCCACCACCACGCCCCCTCTGCCCACCCCCACCCACGTCGGAGACAAACGATAGTTGCATACCTCAACGCAAAAGTGGAGCTGGTGTGGGCTGTGGGCAAGCTGTGCGAGCAAAAGGCTCACATTTCACCTGCGCGTTAGCCAGCCGCGGCTTTCATCAGATGCTGCATGTTTCCACTTCGAATGCGTTTTTAAAAGTGCTGTAGTGTTTGTAATTTTATTTTGTACATGTCGTCAGAAATGGCCGACTTTGCATATGTCCAGACGAGAGACCAAGTTGGGTAAGCGTTCATGACCCCCCCCCCCCCCCCCCGCCCGCGAGCGTTACAATTTCTCTCTCCTGGAAAACATGGGAAAATAATTGTGACTGGTGAAAGACTGCGCACTACACCTGCGACGAGTCTAGGGGACCAACTCTTGCATTTCTGGTTACGATTCTCATTCCATTTTCCGGATGATCGGATGCGTCCTCCGCTCCGGACCGCGCCGTGGTTCGCACCTTGGCGCCCGTCGGGCGCGTCACTGTGCTAGTCAGGTTGGCCGCTGCGACCGCGCGGTCCTCGGCGAGGACGACATTTCAATATTAGCCTCCAATTATACCTGTTACGATTGCATCAAATGTATTGGGACTTCAATTATTTTTCCGCACCATTACAATATTTCCTCGCACTAGAAAGCGGTGGGTTCGGAACGCGAGTTGCCATTTGGGTCTGTATTTGGGTCGATCGATACAGCGGCTGCCATCTTGTGAGGAAGGAAAGAAACGACGAAGAGCGAAGCGTCGGATGCAAGGGTCCCCAAGTTTAAACTTTGATTTTTAAACGCGTGACGAGACTTTAACCGCCCCCCGAAAAGGGGTTGAATTTTTCCTTGAGGTGCGTCTGGTTTATTTGGTATCGTTTTGCTTTTACCCGCTGTGGCTTGACGGCTCGGTGGGACGAGTTTCTGGTTAGCGTCACTCTGGGAACCTCTTCACCTCTTCCAAATGCTATGTTTGCAATGTTTTGTCATGTTTTTAATCTAAAGATAATCGACATTAGAAACATAAGAAATATAATCATATTGCGTTAGGAACAGTTAATCTTTTATCCCTAAAACAATTAAGGGCTTGGTAAAAAAAAATTCTGTTGATGTTGCAGAAGTTCCTGTAGTGTTTCTTTTCTCTTTCCCTTTCTTTTTTTTTTTTCATTCATTCCCTACAGTCAAACACTCAATGACTATTAATGTGCCATGTGTTATAACTATAAATGTGTTAAATTCCTATCTGCTGAAACTCAAACCTTTCGACTTTATTATTTAATTCAATATATCTCCCTCTCTTTAAGTGTGTTTTAACTTAATCATTTGAATGAAATGTCATGTCTCAAACTCTTATTTCTTACTGTATTTTATTTTGTTTTAGACTGGCTTTTCTTTGCTACGATCATGGGTTCATCACAGCAGTTTTCACTACGATGGAACAATTACCTTCATCACATCACTAGTGCCTTTGACTCGTTACGATCTGATTTAGATCTTGTAGATGTGACACTAAGCTGTGAAGGTAAAAAAATTAAAGCTCATAAGATGCTTTTATCAGCATGCAGTTCATATTTCAAAGACTTATTTAAGGTAAGTTGAGTTTTTTTTGTGAGTTACGTAAGTATGACATTAAATACCATAAGTGCTGCCAACAACTTTTCTCAACATTGTTTTAGGAAAATCCCTGCCAGCATCCTGTCATAGTGTTCCGTAATGTTAACTTCTCTGACTTAGAAGCACTGATAGACTTTATGTATCAAGGTGAAGTTAATGTTGTGCAAGAGCAGTTAGCCTCATTCCTCACCACAGCCGAGCTGTTGGCTGTTCAAGGGTTAACCGATGGGAACGCAAAAGATTTGACTGAAAACCTTGAAGTATGTACAATTATCAGATACCCTTAACAGACGTTTTCTTAAGTTCAATTTTAACACATTTGTATAATTTTGTATCTCTTTAATAGGAGGAAAACTCGGAACCCACTGAAGAAACTGTGACTGAAATAGACGCTCATACACTAAAACGTACCAACAGCTCTACTAATAATACCACTTTTAATACTCCTAATTTAAGTCCTGCATCACCTCAGGCTAAAAGAAAGAAGTGGAGTGCCCCAGCAACAGCCTCTGCTGCCTCTGCTACAAGTCATAAGTCAAGAAATAGTAGTAATGAAACTAAACAATTATCTCGAACTAGTTTAAGCAGTGGTGTAAATTCTGTGGACATTATTCCTGTTCTGCCACAAGTCAAAGTAGAAATGCCGGACTTTTTAGAAGCTGATTCAGATCAGATTAGTTTTAATAATTCAGAGCCAGTGGAGAATCCTTTAGAAGACATATCAAGTCTAGAACATAATTTATCAGCAGCCGTTGGAAGCAGTAAAGAAGAGTCATTAGATGTTTATGGAGGCAATTCAAGTGACACGGGTGAAATAACTGGGGAGCAGATGACACCAGCAGAATTAAGTAAGAATAATACGTAGCATTATCTCTAACCTGCCTTGTTAAAGTTATCTGTCTAACATTCCTTCACGTGTTCCCAGGCCAAGTCCTAGCCAAAGCCGGTCCATCCAGTGAGGGTTCACAGGATTCACTACAGGGTGAGTTTTCATTTATTTGATACTGTTAAATTTGTCTCGAGGTAAGCAGAACTCCATTGTGTTCATAATTATTTTTGAAGTCAACTCTTTCAGTACAGTATGACACTAGCTTTAGATCATAAAGCCATACAAAAACTTCAGTAATTAAAGTGAATATTAAATTAAGATTCAAATCCATAACCTTCCGAAGTTTACACACAATGAATTTCTGTTTTCTCTTGATTTATCAAGACAGACCAACAAGTTGATCATGTTATCCAATCGTTATTCTTATCTGATCTAAATAACTTGATTGATTTCACGCATTCAAATAGTATTTCTTAATCTGTTCAACTTTCATAGTTCATTTCAATTTTTTTCTTTGATAATTTTTTCTTGAATTTTCAAACACTTGTTGGTCTGACTTTTATAATACCTGTACTGTTTTAAATAATAATTCTTAGAAACTCAGAATGTGTTTCACTTTTATGCACCTCTGAGGTTCTAAGTTACTTCAATTGAAGGAGGCCTCTGAAATCAAGGCTGGGGCAGTTTCCTGTCATCAGTCATAATCACACAATGATATAAGTTTGATAAAATAAACACTCTTATGCGTAAAGTGCTGAGCACTTAATTTCAATTGATTTTTGTCATTTTTCTCTTTTATTGATGATACTTAAATGAGAGAGGGCTTCAGATCGAGCATAGCTTTCTTAAGAGATTCTCTGTTTTTCCTTTCCGTTGTCATTGTGTCGTGATCGTTCTTTTCTCCCTTTATTTGTGGTGGTGGTGGTGGTCACTCTTGTCTGAGAGGGCTGGATTTCAATGAACAAAATGTGCTTCCTGTAGATTTGTTTGGCTCTTTGGTATTGTTTGGTCGTCAGCTTCTATTTCTCCAATCCACTGCTTTGTTCCAACACAACACATTTGGCCTCACTCTAGTGAAATCAAGTTCCTTGATTATTTCTGAATTCTTTTGGATTCTATTTACTATTAAGAAGAAGAGCTTAAATACTACTTGCATCTGCAAAAGAAAATGTTTAGAAGGTGAGTTTTTCGTTATTTTGAAAGAAATTGATTGAATTCAACAAAGTTTATTAGACACAAGAGCTTTTAAAACGGGTCTCCCAAAATATTTTGCTGTTTCTCTTGTTATTTAAGAAACTCTAAAGTTCCTTAAAAGTCATATATGTTTTAAATGTTTGGCTGAAATTTGTTTTGTTATGACAATTATTAACTGATTTAGATTTTCATTTACTCTTTTTAAATGACGTCTTGTGGGAATTTTTTCATAATCATCACCTGTAACATGTGTTACATGTACCTGTGCAGTTGACTAGACTCGTCTTTTTTTCTATTTGCTATGCCTCATACTCACAGTAATCTAATATCAAATAAAAATTCTGAATGCAGAGTTTTCTATCTATGGACAATTTTCTTTGTATTATTGCCTGGCAACTCATTATTTGAAAACATGACTAAGATGTCAAACTTGTGCCCCTTATATTTTTCCTTTTAGGAAAGTGGTATTAAAATCCTAACTAGACAGGACCTGTTATTCAAATATTGAGCTCATAAAGCAGGTGTAAAAGATCATCAATAGGTGAAAGCTATAACCTAAAGATTATCTAGTCAGCTATTGCCATTGCAATTGCTTGTATCTGATGGGACATAGCTATTTCAAAGTGGTAGCCGGCATTGGTCAGATATGATCCGCCCATGAGATTTGCTTGCTTCACAAGCTCAGATGTTAATTTCCTTGAGATATGTAAATTAATGTTCCTGCAGTATTTAGGAATCAATAAAGCATTCCGGTAAAGCTAAAATGCAGAAGAATGCGAGGAAGAAGAAAACGAAAATCACTATGCTTTTATATGGGACTTCCGTTTTCTTGTTCCCTGCATTCTTCTGCATTTCAGCTTTACCGGAATGCTTTATTCTTAATCCACTTGAGCAGACCACACCATCTCAAATGTAACCTTGGCATTGTTGACCACAGTAATGATAAATTTTCAAAACTCAACAGCAAGTCTGTGAGATAAGCCATGTGAGGCCAAGGGTTTTCAGACATAGGTTTAAAAATGTGAGGAAAATATTACAGTACTTTCTTTTAGACTGGTTGATACTCTTTAAGGTCAGAATTGCTGCGTGCATTGTTTTGTTGAAGCCCTTCCCATTAAAGGCATTTATCAACAAGGATTTTTTTTTTATTTAGTCATTTACATGATAATTATTCTACAAAGCAAGATTACAATTGCTGTCATATGCCATTTCAATAGTTGTAATGCCTCTCTGCCTAGTAAACAAAAACACTGTTTAAGTAATTAATGCTGTTAAATACTTGTGTAGGTGGAGGACAGCAAGCTAAGGATGGCCAGTGGATGAGGCCCAAAACAAGTGAGCCCCAACAAATCGGGTTCACATGTCAAATATGTGGGAAATCATTCAAACACCGCAACTCTAGATACAACCACATGCCCACCCATTTTGGGGTAACCGAATGCCCTGTTTGTCATATTGTTCTGGGCCAGAGGAGCAACATGAAGAGGCATCTTAGACATGTTCATAATGTTGATATTGATTGTTCTTAGTTATCTGATCTATTTGAGTGTGCCAAAAATTTATCTTTTGCGAGGGCATTCTTTGTATAAGTGTGGGTTATGTGGAAATTGGATTGCAAGGATTGCCATGTGAGCTGCGACAGAGAGAGAGAGAGCGAGAGATACAGAATAGCCTTGCAAATATAACTGATCCCTTCACTCCACATGGTATGAATGGATAGAGAAACTCTGTTCTTACAGAAAATATTTTGACTAAACCTACAGCTGCTTGAATCTTACTATTATTTTTCTATCTACTTCTGTGGTTTAAATGGATGGAAGAAAAACACTATTTTCTTTTTCATGCAGTTAGCTTCCTTACCTTAAATCAATTCATTACATGTGCCATTTTCCAGAATTACTACTTTGCCATTTAAAATGGAGTAATCTTAAAGATATTTCGTCACTCAATTTTAACCTGAGTCCATTCCATTCCTGTTGTAGCTGGAAATCTCCTCAATCACTCTCCGTATTTCACCTCACCAAGGGAAGGCGAGCAGGTGGAAGCAAGAGTTGTGACATTGGACAATGGGCATTTTGCTTGTAGTGTGTGTACCAAGGAGTTTCAAAGCAATAGTTCTTGTTATGGACATCTTCACGTGCATTCTGGGGGCACTGTGTGCAACATATGTAATTGTGTACTGAGCAGGAAAGGAAATTACAAGAGGCACATGCGTACTGTTCATGGAATCACTGATTTCTAGTGGATTTTGTGCAATGTGTTTGTTTGTGTCTCACTCAACTATTGGAATTTCTAGTTTTTTCATTCACTATTTTGTGTCTCTTTTTGATTGTTGTTTTTTCTTAAATGCTTCTTCCATACATGTATTGTGAATGTATTTCATGTTTTTCCTTTTTGCATTACAAGATAATTGTTTTGCCACATATACTTAAAACTCAGAGGAATGTATAATTTTCTCTCCAAATTAATTTTTTTGATGCAACATTAGTCAATTAATGTTTGCTTACAAGACATATGTAGTCAGTGATATTTTATTTTATTTGATAAGGAGTAGTCTGGAACTTTCAGTTGTTAGCCGACCTCTGTTCCATTGTCTCCCATTTCATATATACAGCCCTCCCCGGTCATACTCTACTTAGTGTAATAATAAAAATCGAGTGAGGTTGATGCAAACAAGTTAGGGTGTCTTGATGGCTTCTGGCGCACCTTTCCTCTTCCCTCTCACGAGCCTCCGTGTCTGCACACAGTGGGTGCACCCCCACCCCCTCCCTTCCCCCTCTGGTTTTCCCCTCACCACACACCCCCTTCTGAAATCCAGCCGCTTTCAGACTCATATTCGCCCGTCCATGCAGCTCTGCCGTGGCAGTGAAAGTGTTTCCCTTTCCCAGGTCCCCCCTCGCCCCGGCCTGCTCGGCCTGCTCGCTGGCGGGAGCACGGGGTCCGCGCCGAGGCCCCGGGGGAGGTCCTCGAGGCCCGCGATCACCCTCCTCGGGGCGGCCAGGGCCACGCGCTCGCCAAGGCCGCCGGCCACGGCAAGACTTGTCTGCAGTGCCGCTTGAAGGGCAGGGTCACCCAGCGGGGGTCCTACGTCCAGACGCGGTTCAAGTGCCAGGCCTGCAACGTGACTCTGTGCCGCAAGAACTGCTTCCTGGAGTACCACCGGGAGCGGGCGCTGGTCGTCGCGACGCCGTCCTCGGCGCCCTTCGCCTGGCAGCGGCGCTAGAGAGACTGTAGAGACTTGTAGAGAAACACTTGCAGTCTCGCGACTGAACTGAAGTGCTCCGCCACAGACTGCCACTCTGCCGAACGGTTTGCTCTCTGTTTAAATGTCGGTCACGCGCCCTCGAATGTGTGCAATGTGCCCATATTTAGAATGTCGATGCTCATTTTGTGGCAATACCTCTGTGTCACTAGCGGGCCATTTGAGTGCCATAGCTCCTCCTCGTTAGGTTCTACTCAGTATTTCCGACGAAATTTTTTCCTCAGGCGACAATTTTGTCATATCTGACATTTTCCTTTTATGCAACGATTTCCTATTTCTATCGCAGACAAACTGTGCCAATATGAGCACCATTCTTACTAGCAACAAAAACACCGCAGAGATAGGACTTAAGTGATGGCCAACTCGGTTCAATATACCTGAAATCGAGAATCCGGTATCCCAAACCAGAAGCTGGTTGTGACGACCGGACACTTGTACGACGATAGCAACCAGTCGTGTTAAACCGTTTTGAAGTTGAAAAGTGGGATTTTCTCGCCTGCGCCTAGTCTGCTTAGTTGAGTTGGTCAACGCTACAAAGTGCTTCTTTTTTGTGAATGTTTTGCCGCTTGTTGACAATATGTGCCACCTACCTTTAAAATATACATGTTATTTATCGTAAAGTCATTTGTATGCACTGGAAATATTGTGTTATCAAACTGACAGCCACGTTTTGCACTACTGCACCGTTTGGTTTCTTATAAAACCTTTATAAAAGGAAAAAAAGTCTCGCGACATTCTGTTCTTCTTTCTAACCCTGTCTATCTCTTCTTTCCACCACCCCCCCCCCCCAATTGAATTCCATAAAAGCTTGTTTGCCGTGATGGTCAATGCTGTTTTTCCATGTCCTGTGGCAGTACACCACCACTATTTGCCCTTTAATGTATGTGGTGATGGCCCACCTCCCCCCCCTTTTCTACTGGATCAGAAATAACTTGTCGAAAGACATCGTTTCGATGTGTTTCCCCCTAATCCCCGTGCGCTGAGTCGATTGAACCTCGCCGCGCGCCTCCCCCACCCTGTAGGGAAGTCCTTGTCGAAAGCTGTGCTCGGTCGGGTGTCTGACGTCATCATCGTGTGAGAGAGTGTGGCTGCTGGTCGGGAAACGCCCCGGTTAAAGTGTGTGCCGTGCTCGTCCCGGTCGAGTGTGTGCTCGCCCCGGTTGAGTGTGCTGCTCGTCCCGGTTGAGTACTCTCGGTTGAGTATGCTCGTCCCGGTTGTGAGCCCCCCGCTTTGTGTGTGTGCAGCGCGCACGCAGCGACGCCCCGCGCGGCCCTTCGTGATCAAGGTGCGGCCCGCCGAGGACGAGGCCCGGCAGCCCCGGCAGCCGCCGGCCCGGCGCCCCCCCATCCCGGTCAGGAAGCGGTCCTCCGAGAACGAGGCCCGGCGGCTGCAGGTGCGCCTGTCCCGCCTGTCGCCCGGCCTCGAGCCGCCCGCCCCGCCCGGCCCCGCCCGCGACCCGCTGGAGCTGCCGCCGCCGCCGTCGCCGTCCAGCTCGGCCCACTCGTGCGAGGTGTGCGGCAAGCAGTACGGCCACCCCATGTCGCTCATCCAGCACCGGAAGATCCACCTGGGCTCCACCACCTGCTCCGTGTGCCACAAGGTGCTCAACCGGACGCACGACCTCAAGATCCACATGGCGCTCAAGCACGGCGCCATCGGCGGCAAGGTCCCCGCCGCCCAGGCCCAGGACGCCGTCAAGGACACGGGGGCCGCCCAGGGGGGCGCCCAGCAGCGTGCGGCTCAGGGGAGCAGCACCCCCGGCGGCGCTCAACGGGCAGCCCAGGGGGTCGCCCGATAGAAGTACTCTACTCGAGCACGGCGCCGTTTGCAACCAGTGCGCCGCCAAGGACACTGCCCAGCCCAGGGCGGCACTCGGGGAGCACCCAGGGGGGCACGGGGGCACCCGGTAGGAGTACGCTACTCAAGCGGCGGTTTTATTGTAACATATTACTCAATGTTTTCGTTTCTCGACGGTCCGCCTGCTTTTTGTTGTTTTTGTTTCATTTTCATCTCCCATCTCGTACAGTGTGTGGGATGGGTGGTTCCGTATGTTTGCCACAGCAGCATCTTTTCGTTGGGTTTCTATTGAACGAGGACTTCGCCCCTCCTCTCTCTCTCCTCTCTTGTCACTCCTGTCCACATAATCTTCCTACCCGCCCAGGGCCCAGCCGCCGTCGAGCGGGCTGCCAAAAGGAGAATGAAAACAATATAAATATGTGCTTTCCCGATTCCTCTAAAAAGAAATATCTAAAACGAAAAATTTAAGAATGAGAAAAAAAACAACAAACTAACTGTGGCCTGTGGTCTGCTTGTTTCCGCAGGCCCGTCCTGGCGGCTCGGCCCGTACGGCCTCCCCTCAGGGGCGCCCCCCGGGGCGTACCCGGCCTCCGCCAACCTCCTCCTGAACCCGATGCGCGGCGTGGCCAGCGCCGTCCGCCCGAGGCTGTACCCAGACGGCAGGCGCCGCTACCCGTGCCAGTTCTGCGACAAGACGTTCGCGCACCGCATATCCGTGGCCCTTCACATGAGCATCCACCAGGGCAAGACCGAGTGCCACATCTGTCGCAAGGTGTTCAGCCGCGCGTACAACCTCAAGCTGCACATCCAGACCGTGCACGCCGAGAGGCACGCCGAGAGGGACAGGCCGCCGCCGCCGCCCTGAGCGAGGCCAAGCAAAGCCTTTAGGGATATTTAAAAGTAAA